TCCCCCCAGACATATGATTGGATTTTGGGCATTTGGCAACCCAGCCATATTTATGACTGTTTGCAGCACCCTATTGGTTTGGTTTGGTTTTATTGGTCTTGTATGCCGCCCACTCCCGAAGGACTCCGGGCAGCTTACAATAAAAAGGGAAGGGGGTTCCCTACAAAATTTAAAATACAACAACATACACAATTAAAGTGGGTCTGGACACTTCACCAGCCACAGTCCTGCCGGAACAGCCAGGACTTAGTAGCTTTACGGAAGGCCGGGAGGGTAGTAAGGGTCCGGATCTCAATGTGGAGCTCGTTCCAGAGGGCCGGAGCTGCAACAGAGAAGGCCCTCCCCCGGGAGGTCGCCAGCCGGCATTGGCTGGCAGATGGAATCCGGAGAAGGCCTAGTCTGTGCGATTGAATCGGTCTTTGGGAGGTAATTGGCAAGAGGCGGTCTCTCAGGTCAAAGCTGACCTCTATCACAGCAAATTTCACCACATTCTGTCCCAAAGCTCACTATATAAAACTCCAGATTTTAAAGGACTGCAGTTTGAACTCAATGTACCAGCTCATACAAAAATGTGCTATATGTTACCTGCTTACTAAGGCATAATGTTTCTGAAACAAATGACAGCACTCTGTGTTTCTCTCTTATTAGACTATGGAATTCTGTTTTTCAGATTCTCAATCCTGATTTAAGTATTGAATCACAGTGAACTATTTCTGGAGCGATGCCCATCAGATTGGTCTGTTTCCAAAGATTATGCTTCCTTGGTGAATCACTCACCCCACATCCACAATCATGTAGGTTTGCATGGTTCATAGCCAGACTTTTCTATCTGCAGGGATCATCTGAAAAGCAATCTCCAAGGCCACAGCCTTTTCATTACACAATGTGCCCTATTACTATTTTGGCACTATCCTTCAATTAGCATGTTATCTTTTCCAGCTTCAAATAACCCACATTTAGAAATAAGCTCTCAATCTCTCCATGAAGATAAAGCAACTACAAAAGCAGCTGTAAAGCATAGGAATTCCAAAGACAAACAACAAGACAAAAATGACAATTATGGACTGGTAGAGCTACATATCTACAGTTCCCCCAACTGACAGCATTTAAGGGAAGGTGGACAATCTGTGCTGTTTCCTTGACTGTTGAAGGTAACATGTCTAAATCAGCCTTGCCCCCCCCCCAAAATAATGTAAGTTGGATTCAGTAAATAATGGGCCTCCTCCTACAACATTAATACCAACAAGGGGTAAGACCACACTCAATAGCAGGAAAGGTCAATCTGTTTTTGGGTTCAGATAAACCATTTAGTAGGAAAGGAGAGGTAGTCCTTAATTTGTAAGTACAATAGGGCCTGGAGTCGTGGGTTGTTGAATGATGGGCTTGTTGAGTGAGATGCCCACGTGATTCACTTCATTCAATGAATGCAATCTTGGCTCTCCAAGTTGCAGTCGTTAAATAACTGCACGGATTGTTATACAGATGGGAGTGAAAAAGCTGCCTGCCAAAGGAGGGCAGGTAGCTCCCCTGTGTGTTCAGAAGCGAACTTCTGTGCTGAGATGGAGAGATAAGGTAGGGATTTGCTCATGGAAGGGAGTGGAACTCCTGTGCTGGACTGGACAATCTCTGCCTTATCTCTTCAGCCTACTTCACTTCCACACATAGAAGGGAATGGAACTCCTGTGCTGGACTGGAAAGATGAACTGCACAATCCGTGCAGTTATTTAACGACTGCAACTTGGAGAGTCAAGATTGCATTCATTGAATGAAGTGAATCACGTGGGCATCTCACTCAACAAACCCATCATTCAACAACCCAGGACTCCAGAAAGCCAAAGATTTAGCTTTGTTTCTGCAATCCAACAAAGGTTTTCCACTCCCACCCTGCCTCATGCGTGGAGGAGAGTGGAAATCCTTTGGCAGGCGGCAATACTTGCAGCCTTTCCTGCTGGCTTCCCCACTGACTTTCTGGGGAAGCTGGCAGAGAAGCTTGCAAATGGCAATCAGATACCAATAGCACTTAGACTTATATATTGCTTCACAGTGCTTTACAGCCTTGTCTAAGCAGGTTACAGACTCAGCACATTGCCCCCAACAATCTGGGTCCTAATTTTACTGACCTCGGAAGAATGGAAGGCTGAGTCAACCTTGAGCCAGTGACTCGAACTGCCAAACTGCTGGCAGTCAGCAGAATTAGCCTGCAATATTGCATTCTAACTACTCTACTACCATGGTTCTTGATGGGGATCACCAAGTGCTTGGCAACCAGTACTAAGTATGAAGAGGTTACCAAGCACCCAGATCATGATCATGTAATCATGAGGACTGAGGGTGGTATTGTAGAGTTTGTTGTAGCAATCAAATCCAGAAAGGACACACAGGCAACTGAGACAACAGGATTCATTAACCTTTCTTTATATACATAATAACACATAAGCAATATACAATACCAATGGTTGGTTCTTCCAACATAGTAGAGTACAAGGAAGAGGAGAGAACAGTTTCCAGTTTCAGTCCCAGCAGCAAACTAGTTTTTTGCTTAGCACAGACTCAGAGCTATAGTACAGAACTAAGCCACACCCAGGATCCATGCTGTCTCCTGCAAATACTGTTTCAGTTTCCAAACAGTCCCCATTGTACCAGGTCTCTTCCAGTCTATGAATATTCATACTCTGACAGATATGATGTTTTTTGATGGCCTGCGGTTTAGTAATTGGATGGAATAACTAACTGGGTGGTGGGGGAGGGATTTAACACAAGGAACCTGGGTGGGGCCAGGGGAGAGGTTCATAATGTGGTGGGGAGCACAGAGCTTTAGCTCCAAACTTTTTTTTCCCATTTTAATCACAGTGGGTGGTCAGAGAGTACCGGTTACATAAACAAAGATTATATCCAATATTGGTCTCCTGTTTTTATTTCCTGGAACTTGACAGTATGAAGGAATAACTTACCAGTGTAGTCTTCGTAACATTCACAGGTATAGCCTCCCTCTCGACTTCGACAAAGGCCATTGTTCCCACATGGGTTAGAATAGCAGAGGTCAATCTCCGTCTCACAATAGTCACCAGTAAACCCAGGGGGGCAGCGACACCTCAGACCATTGATAGGGTGTATGGGCCGGAAAAGTACAGTATTGGAACTAATAAAGGGTGCAGAGCTGTCGAACTTCAGTACGGAGACACATTTCATGTAGTTTTCGCAGGGTTCCCGCAGGCAAATGTTATCATCGAAAGGCAATACTCGTTGAGTAGATATCAGCGTGAGCAGCGTCCGGTTGAGGTATATCTGCTCCTGAAGGTCTTCAGAAGGGAAGAATTTGTTTCGAATGCCACCGGGAAGCAGGGCAGAAAATGTCACATTCAGGATATTGGCGCTAACATCTGTGTCATTTTGAATGTTGAAGACAAAAATGCCCTCTTTGGTTGTTGACAGTACAGTAGCCACGCCTTCCACAAAGAGAGCCAGCAGAGGGGAGAGAAACTTCTCTTGGGACATGTTTTCCAGCCGCACCGTGATGCTGTTTGTAAGCATGTCATCAGTGATGATGGTAACCCTTAAGGTGCAATACGCTGTAACGCTGTGAATACCATCTATAGGGTAAAAGAGAGAAGAATTAAAGACGATCCCCAAAACCAACTTCATGCATTTTCTCCTAAACATCCTATAACACATGATTGTTAAATCAGGCAATGTGCAAGTCACGTCATGTAAACTGGGTGCTAACTTAAAAAGTCATTTAGGCTGCTCCGTAGTGAAATGAGCACACAAATTTCAACTATATACTACAGAAAAGAATAGAATAGAATAGAATAGAATAGAATAGAATAGAATAACAAAGTTGGAAGGGACCTTGGAGGTCTTCTAGTCTAAGTCCTGCTTAGGCAGGTAACCCTACACCAGGGGTTGGCAACCTTAAACACTCAAAGAGCCACAAAGGTCCTAACTGGAAGCCCCCTGTTCAATTCTGGAGCCAACCAGAAGTCCGGTTCCCCCACCATAGAGTTTTCCTCTACTTGTCCTAACTGAAAGCCCTATCATGGAGCCGACCAGTGACAGGGAGCTACAGCAGAGGGATGAAAGAGCCACATGCGGCCCCAGAGCCATGGGTTGCTGACCCCTGCCCTATACTATTTCAGACAAATGGTTATCATCTTCTTAAAGACTTCCAGTGTTGGAGCATTCACAACTTCTGAAGGCAAGTTGTTCCACTGATTAATTGTTCTCACTGTCAGGGAATTTCTCCTAGATTGCTTCTTTCTCCTTGATTAGTTTCCACCCATTGCTTCTTGTCCTTTATAAAAATGTATCTATATTTTATTTCATAGGCAAATATTTCAAATGCAAAAGAGGAAAAAAACTATAAACACCAATCTCATAACTTTCATAGGCATAAATTTCATTAAATGTGTCAGTTTGTTCAACACTATGTAAAAATGAGAAATTAAATAAGCTGCTGACGATAGTCCGGATTTATAAATAAAGTTGTTGAAATAGAGAAAGACAGAACATTCTTCAAACCATTGTATAACTGACAGAAAAGAAGATACCTGTAACCTTGAAGCATCCTCTTTTATTTTGCTATTATGAATGCATGAAATGTTCTTTCCCATTAATCTGTTTATTCCCAAAACATTTTTTGAACAAGAACATAATCATTTATAAAAAACCAAAGAATTTTCTAAAGTGATCTATGAAATCATCTCTCTCTCTCTCTCTCTCTCTCTCTCTCTCTCTCTCTCTCTCTCTCTCTCTCTCTC